TTTAAGCCAGGGTCACCATTCTTTCAAAGGTTTTCATATAATTTATTTTTCCCTTTTAAATTGAAGCAAGAGCATTAAGAAAACATTCCTTTAAAAACAGCAGCAAAGAAGAAGTTTTCTCCAATACACCTATTCGGACCATTGCCCTCTCAGAAAAATCTTTCCTAATTCTTTAGACTGCAACATTACAAGGCGTAGCACAGACTACTCTAACTAGTTTTCTCTCTACCACTGCAAGAGCTCACTGTTTCTTCAGGTGAGTCTGGTGAAATACTTGTCTTGCATTTGGAGGCCATATTTTAGAAAAATAAGGCTGAATATAACCAGCATCTTTCTAGAATCACAGATAGAAGTTGACTGAAGAAGAGATTCATGTTTTTCATCTTTTGCTCACTCCAGGACCTAAGCTCACTGAGGGAAGAGTGGGAATCTCCAGCAGTACTTGGTTTTTTCTTTTTCACCAAACATAGTTGAATTCATAAATATGCATATGATACAATTCCATTGTTAAATATATTGGTGATCACCCAGGGTATTTTTTTTCCCTCTACTGTGCAGATTTATTTTAGGAATTCTATTTAAAAGTGCAGTTAACTCTAAGGTTTTGTGAATTTTTAAAGTTATTTACTGAGTACTACTAGATGCCAGATACATACATTATTCTTATACATTAAGCATGTGGTTCCTAATCAGAATTATGTATAAGATTCACCTGAAGAACTTTAAAGAAAAAAAAAGAAATGACCAAAGCGTATCTCAAATCTACTGAATTCCTTTCCTCTGGGGATGGGCACTTGGTACATTATTTTTTTAAGCCTTATGGGTGATGCTGATGTGCATTTCTTGGCTAATAACCACTGCTTTAAGCCACCATACACCAACAGCTAAACAGTCAACCAGAGTCACTAATAATAAACTTGGCTTATTTCACAACTTTGTCTAGGGACGGCTTGTCAATGCTTCCTGGTTTTTGACTGCTGCCTAGGTATGGCCTCATTTCTTCCCTATTCTGCCTCAGCGCCTCACCTTCCACTACGTCTGGACTTCTGAACTAGACATGTAATCTTTGATCTCAGAAGTCATCATCATAAGCATAGGTTCTGGTTGTGGCTGGCTCACTGAACTTGGCTTTCCTTACCTTTGCGTCTAACCCTATCTCTACTACATACTTTCACTTATGACCCTAGTATGAAAACCTGCTAACACCATCGAGTCAGGGAAGAAAGTGCCATGATGGTGATGATGGCAGTGGCCCGTCTGAAGTCGCTGCTGCCCTGACGCTGGCTACAATCCAGGAGGCATGGCTAGGGCCGTGGTGCTCCATGGAGCCAGCAAGAGCTGGGAACAGGCAGAAGCCCTGCCCCCTTCCAAGTTGGAAGAGTGGGAGTCCTGCCCTCCTGGGTGCAGCTGTAGCCACCCAGTCATGGCAGTGGATCCATTCATCTCCGCACTCTCAGGGACCAGGAAGCTCCCTGCTCCCGCCAGCTTGGAAGTGCCTGCTCCCACTGCCTGGCCTCTCCCTGCTCCCAGCACCCACTCTGATTTCAGAACAAAGTTGTGACCGAGCCTGGCTGCTGTCGCGACCTGTCCAGGTGTGTACGTGCTTGGGGCAGCATTGACACGCAAGCCCCCTGCTGCCTCGGTCCCCTCTGGACTTTGGGCACTGATGAGCACAGGAGGGAGGCAGGCCGAGGGGGGAATAAGGGCAGCTCAGTGCAGGCCTGTAGGTACCACTCAGCATGAACAACCTGGGCGCCATGGGCACCGTGGATGGCAGGTTAACGGCAGCAGGAGCCAAACAGGCTCCTGGGCGGAAAGGGGCAGATCCCCAGTAAGGCCAGGGGCCAGGTTGCCAGTTTCATGCAAAGCAGTGAGAACTTATGGTGCTTTCTCCATGGTTACCCATGGACCAATCAGCACACACTTCTTCCTCTCAGAAGCCCATAAAAACCCTGGACTGAGCCAGACTTGGACAGACAATGGGATGACCTGCTTGCAGACAGGAGCTACCCACTGTGGGTTTCCTCTCTGTGGAGAGCTGAGCAGATGGCAGGACGACCTGCCTGCTGAGAGGAACTACCCACTGTGGGTCTCCTCTCTGCTGAGAGCTGGACACTTACTGGGATGACCTGCCTGCAGAAGGAAGCTACCCATTACCCTCAGGTCTCCTCTGAGCTGTTCTGCTGCTCAACAAAGCACCTCTTTGCCTTGCTCACCCTCCACTTGTCCGCATACCTCATTCTTCCTGGATGTGGGACAAGAACTCAGGACCTGCGAAATGGCATGGCTGAAAGAGGTGTAACACAAACAGGGCTGAAATATGCCCCTTGCTTGCCATGTTGCGGGCAACATAAGGAGAGAAAAGAGAGGACGGAAGAGAGGAGAGAAGAGCTGTGGTCCTTGGGGGAGCCCAGACCTAGGAGCTCCCTGTGACACCCTCTTTGGGGTTCTGCGGCTCCTGGCATCTCCAAGCTTCCAGGTGCCACTGCATTCCCTGGCGCCAGCTGTGGAAGCTGCTTGCAGTATACCTGGTCCAGCCACAACCTTGCAGGGAGCCAGCCCCTGGAGCTGCCTGCCCTGCTGCAGCTGGCATGCCTAGCTGTGCGCAGTGGCTGGACTCCGTGCTTGCTTGCTCACACACCCCTCTCTGCTTCGCACCTGGCTTGCACTTGGCAGGTGTGGGATCCAGGCCGGGAGTATGAGCAGAGCGCAGCCTGCTGGGCCTGGGGGCAGAATGAGCCCAGCAGGCCTGACCAAAACTCGGGCAAAGGTGACATTTTTCCAGCTGGAAAAGTGACACTCCAAGGATCCTGCGACAATGACTCCACTGAAAAATGATTTCGAATAACTGTAATAATAGGTAAGGTAATTGTGAATGCATGTTAATCTTCAGTAGTCTAGTTTGATTCCTTTCAAACATTGCTTTGTACTTAGCAACCCAACTGAAAAATAAATCTCCAATTCATAAGAAAAAAAACTTCCTTAGATTGGAATAAAGGCCCTCTACTGTCTAGATCTCACCTGTGTTTCTAGATCTTGTAATATTCTACATGTACGTGATGCTCCAACCTAGCTGTAACTTCACTGTTCCTCAGGAAGCCCTCGGTAATGCTGTCCTAACTTCCTTTCTTCACATTTTCAATGTCGGGAAGATCTTTTCACTAGCAGCTTCCCCTTCCTTTACCCGTATCCAAATCCTACCAGTCCTTTAAGACAGTGTTTCTTAAACCTGAATAATGTACAGACTCCTAAAATAAATTCTTATGATCCTGGAGAATGTTTTCAGTAGGCTGGGGACCACAGACCAGTTTGAAAAGCACAAATATAAAGAACTAAAGACCAGTTGTATAAAATTATACAAATGATCACGTTGAAAGAAAAATTTTATCTTTATAATTGGTAAAATAACTTGTATTTTGCCATAGAACTCTGATTCTTATCTTCAGATCTATGATGTTTAAGAAACACTACTTTAAGGCAAAGCGGAAACATACCGACCTTGGAAAATGTTCCTGCATCACCCCAAGTTAATACATTTTTATTTTTTCTGATTTGGTGTCTAACAACTTTCTGCGTTGGAGTAGCTAGTAATATCTAGTATTTTCCTAGAAAACACAAGCTCTTTGAATACAGGGACCACATTTTATTTATTTTTTATATACACCACACCTAATACACAGTACGTCCTCAGGAAGTATTGGCTGTAAAACCTATATTCCATGCTCTTATTTTGTAGTCCAAATGTCTTTAAAATATCACACTTCTTCTATTGTCCATACTCTTATAGAAGAGTATATTACTCAAATAGCTCTGCTATAAATTAACAGTAAGTTTCAGAAGTTATCTTAAAGTTAAAACTCCAAGTCACGAAACTCACGATTTTTTAAAAGTGCCACAAAGTGTCTCTTCTGTGTCAATGTTAATAGAACCCTTTCTTTAAACGATCAGTAGACAAACTAAGAATTTCCGGATAAAGAACAAACTCTGGAAAAACAGGGCTAGTGGGAGAGGCCCTATAAATACCTACCTAGTCTTACAAGTGCTGTCTCTAACTCAGCTTGTATTTAAGGCAGTTTCTTCAGTTTTTCAACTAATGTGTTTGAGAAAACTGTTTTCCTCGGACATGCAGGCGTGGACTCCTTACTTCAGGTAAGGTGACAGCAGCTTGACAGAGAATGCCTTCCCTCCCACGGCATTTGGGACGAGACTGAAGGAAAGACACAGGCGGGGTTACGGGAAACCCATGCTCTGCGCCATCTGGACAAGCTGAAGTCAGTGTTTCCGCTTTCACACGAGGTAATGGATTATGATGGGCTCAGGTCCCCTTTAGCTCTGAAACAGGTATTCTATGGCTCTAGGTAAACACGGCATGAGACAGGTATTTCTCTGGTAGGATCAGTTGTATTTCCCAGAGAATAAAACGGGCAACAAACCATTTATCGATATGTGAATGGTCCCCTAGGCCCTATTTGGGGCTGGATAAAGAAAAAGAAGGTTTGCTTCCTTTTTGGCGGGTCCTCCAACGACAGAGTTCATGGCCCGCTGCGCGTCCAACTTCCACCTCTCGTCGCTCACCGGAGGACGAGCGAGGCTCTGGGCGAGGACAGCCCCTCAACCGCACTCCCCAGAGGGAGCGCTGTGACTCGCGGAGATTAGTCCCCGGTCATAAACAACCTCTCACTTCCCCTCCCCCGCGCCCGCCCGCGCCCGCCCGCGCCGGGGCGGCCCTACGAGGCCCAGGAACCTCCTCCAGCGCCCGCGAGGCCCCGAGTCCTCCTCGGAAGGGCGGCTGCGGACCTGTCCTCTTCTCCTAACCAGGTGTTTGTCCACTTTACTCAGCCCTTCTTACTCGTCCACAATACAGCCACCTCAGAGGGGGCGCTGACGCTAGCCCCTTTTTTCCTTCTGTCGACCCCAATCACCTCCAACAGCCAGAGGCCGGCGGCCCTGACGCGCAGGCTCACCGCCGCGGCCGGCGCGCGCGCGGACGCGTCCCCCGCCCCCACCTCGCGGATCTTCCGCGGTTCGGCCCCGCCCCTTCCCGAAGCCCGCCTCCGGGTCGGCCCGCCCGCCCGCTCGCGCGCACCCGACGCCCCGCCTCCGCGCGTGCTCAATAACTGTCCCCGGAGCCGGCCTGCAAGCTTCCCCCGCCCCTGAGCTGTTTAAATATGCTAATGAGAGGGCAGGGACTAGCCAATAGAACGGCGAGGCGATGTATCACGTGGCTCGGGGACGTGTCAGGGGCGGAGCCTCCGCAGCCCCTGCCCGAGTTAAAATCGGAGTGTGAGAGAGAAAAGCGCTTCAGTAGCGAGAGGGGCTGAGAAAGTGGTGACACTGCCGGGGTGCGGAGGGAGTCCCTGAAACTTCTCCCAACAGCCCCAGGGCCAATCTCCCCTCAGCCCACTCCCCTCTTCGCCAGCTCCCAGGTCCCCACTCCCTGTACCGGGGGTGGGGTGGGGAGCCAGGCCCGTCTCCCGCTGGGACACACACAGGGGCCGGGAGCGGGGACGGGACCCCCGAGGCGGGGGGGACGGACCGACAGACAGACGGCTGGGCGCCCGCCCCAGCGGGCAGGCAGGCAGGAGGAGGCGGAGGCGGGGGTACGACGGGGAGGACTGGGTCTGGGGAGTTTCCTCTCAACTATCGGGGGAGAAACTCCCCGCAGCCGGAGGAAAGACCCAGACGGTGTTTTCCTCCCGGGGGCCGCGCACCCCCGCCCCGCGTAGCGGCGGTCGCCGCCACCGGCGCCTCCACCTCTACCATCTCCTCTTTCTCCACCACCTCGGGCCCCGGTGTCCCTGGCCAGCACTATGCCCATCTTACTGTTCCTGATAGACACGTCTGCCTCTATGAACCAGCGCAGCCATCTGGGCACCACCTACCTGGACACGGCCAAAGGCGCGGTAGAGACCTTCATGAAGGTACCGACTGACCGAGTCCGGGCGGCGACCCCGGCCCGGCGGCCCGCGGGAGGCAGGGTGGGGGAGGGCAGCCAGGGCGGGGGTGTCGGGGACCTGACTGCGGGAGCTGCCGGGCTCGGGGACCCCCTCCCCCACCGCGCGGGCGGGCGGGCGGGCGGGCGCTGCGAGCCGGGCTCGGCCGGGGCCCGGATTCCGGCCCCGGGCGGTGTGTGGGGAGCGATCTGTGTGTTGGGGGCGGCGTGGAGGGGTGGCCGCTGCGTGTGCGGTACTGTGGGGGCGGCGGGGCAGCTGGGCGCCCCTTCTCCGCCTCGTAACCTCGCCTCTGTGCTTCCCTCTCGCCCGCCCTGTTCCTCTTCCCGTCCCGCAGCTCCGTGCCCGGGACCCTGCCAGCAGAGGAGACAGGTATATGCTGGTCACTTTCGAAGAGCCGCCCTATGCTATCAAGGTAACAGCCCTCGCCCTCCCCCTTTCCTCTCTTCCCTTCCCTGTTCCTTCCTCGCTCGCCCTCCCCGCCCCCCCATTCACCCTTCATTATGCTCCCCTCCCCCACCCGCTGCGCTCCCAGCCGCTGAGGTCTCTTCCCTACGGGCTCCCACCCCCTCCCCCGCTCGGCAGCGTCCTAGCGCGGCGCGGAGTCGCGGGGCCACCGCCGTCCCCTCCCGGCCCGGCCCGGCCCGGCGGTTGCGGCGGCGGCGGCGGCGCTGCGATCAACATGGCCGACATTTCCCCTCCGCGGCGTGAGCGGCAGCAATGAACTGTGGGGGATATTTATTCAAGTTAGCCGGAGTGACAGCCGGGCCCGGCCGCGCACAGCCCCGGTTTGCATTAAAGGGGAATCGGTCCGGCCGGCACGGGAGCCAAATACGGGGCTGCCAGGATTGGTCTTGTCAAATTCGTCCTAAGAGGGCCGGTGGGACAGCTGCAGGTTAACTTCCTAAGTCTGGCTCCCGTCTGCTTCCACTAGTACGTTCACATATCCACATTTTGGGTATTAGATTAGGTAGTAAATTTGTCAGTGAAGTTATAAAGTATTAAGGTTGTTAACTACCAAAACCTAGAGAGGAAGCAGGTTTATTCCTGGGCCACCTTTGGAGGAGAGTTTCCTCAGCAGTGGTACAGTATTAACACGTTAACCAAGCCAAACCAACCAAAAGTGAAGCTGCTACTTGGTGACTGTCAGATTATAACGGCTGTGTGTACATGGCTTTAAAAAATGAAAAAAAAAAATCTTACATTTTTCTTTTCAGGCTGGATGGAAAGAAAACCATGCAACGTTTATGAATGAACTGAAAAACCTTCAGGCTGAAGGACTTACGACTCTTGGCCAATCCCTAAGGACAGCTTTTGATTTATTAAATTTAAATAGATTAGTAACTGGCATAGACAACTATGGGCAGGTAGGTTGAATAATAAGGTGGCAAAATAGTTGATTTTTCATTTTGTGGAAAAACAGTCCAATCCAAAAACTACATAACATGAAATGCACGTATAAAACATTCCAGATTAAAATAGAATATGCACATTGTTCAAAGGCAAAACTCTTACCCTACTATATATATTTTATGTCCCTCATTTTTTCCCCTTTTAAAATACATTTGTATTCAGGATTAGAATCTGAATCTTTTGCTAAAAATTTGACATACATTGATTTTAATCCCTTGAAAGTTCACTAAAGACCTAAAAGGGAAAGCGTCCTATCTCACCACACTCAAGTTGTGTGTGCAACTATTGTAGTGACTTACAGACACTAGTTAGTGGTCTTCATTTCTATATTAGTAAAGATGTTAGAGGAAATTAATCTGTTTGTTGCATCAGGGTTTAATGTGATCATGCTGTATAACTATTCTGAAAGGTAAGAAGATTTTCACTGGAATACAGTCACTGGCTGAGAACATTAAGTTTTCTCCTTTTGAAGCATACACAGTTAACTATTGCAGGAAGAATTCTGAATTAAATTTCAGGCCTAGAGTTTTAATTTAAACTCCAAACCCTTTGCAAAAAAGACTGCTGGAAAATATGAAAGAACCCTTCGTTTCTTAACCCCCACAGGTCCTTTTATTTCACTTACTTTCATCTATTTGAGGGTGAGAGGAGCTTTAAATCAACAACAATTCACTAAGGAAGAATGCAAGGTGGTCTATTGTAACATTTTATGATATCTTTGCCCTGGAAATAAGAGATACTGAACAACATATAATGTTACATGTAACAAAGGAATATTATTTCCAAGGAGCTCAATTCTTACGTTGTAGTGAAAAGCACTATTCCTGTAATTATATATTGGGTATATGTTGTGTTCTTTTCCCAAGTCCCACAGTCCCTAGTTTTGTGAGTTTCATACATTTCAGGGAAATTCTTTCTGTGACTACAATGTTTATTTGCTTCCTATTGAAGGAAATGAACTTGTTTCTGTTTTAGGAAATTTTAAGCTCCTTAGGGATAACTTCAGTGCTTAAGTATCTTTGGAAATAGCTGAATTTAGTTCTAGAACATTTAAAGTATACATTGAAATTCAGAGTGAGCTTACCAAATTGAACTTCCATCGTTTAATTAGGTAAATATGTACTTTCTTACTACATTAATACTTTTATGTTTTTCCCATCTCTGCTGCTTTTATTTTTGCAACTTTTAGTAATTTGGGTATATTTGCAATGAACTTTTTGGTTTGTTTCTGTGAAATAGTAGTAGATTTCTTTCTCTTTTATATTTCTTTGTGATATGTAGCGCAACACAGTCTTATTGCTTAAAGTTTTCATCCTTACCTCTTTGAGTTCAAAGAGATATTTAAAACTTGCCATTATTTGGTTACCTTGATTTGGTTGTCATGTTGTTAGTGTTATGGCAGAACTATTAGTTTCCTCTTTTTCTGCATCACATTTCATAAGTGGTCAAGGCATTTGGACACATTCACCTCCTACTACCTAGTACAAATACTTCTTAGATTGCTTCCTTCGAAAAACTGCTTGTCATGGAGAGGCTGAGGACATTTGTAATTTAAACCTGTATTTTCCTTTTCCCAGTTGATGTCTGCCCCCAGAGAACACTTTAGTTCTTGTCTGTAAGGCTTATAAAAACTTTGAGGGAAAGGTGGTCCTGTGCTGTTACCACTTTGACCAAGAGAAAAACCTGGAGATTGGGATGTTTTTGCATGTTAGGATTTATTCAACAACAGGGAGAGATGATGCTTCTCACTTATTTTGATGAATCAGCAAAGATTGCAAGGCATAATTTTATTGCTTATGTCTTGAATTGGCACATTAAAAATGACACTAGCCTTAAAATAAGCCACTGTTTTCAAACGAAAATGATAATTTGAGTAAAGAGTATTTAATTGGAAGAAAACATTCTTCCAGAAGATTTTTTTCATCATAAAACTTATCTGATTTAAACATTTCACGTTTTCTGTTCACAAAAAGGATAAATGATTAGGAATTTTGGATGTCTCAAATATTTAATACTAAATATTGTTCATGTGTTTTCTTCTTTGTAAAAGTACTTTGTATCTGCCTGTTTTCTGTGGAATACTTTTATTTTGTAACTTCAATGTTTTTACATAAGTATTTCCCGTTTCCTGCTCTATACTAGGATCTGTGGCGTTCACAGTACTACTTGTATGTAATGTTAGTAGTTGAAGGAAATGAGAAAAGATTAGGTGGAAGATAGAACATATATATTTTATAGAATATCTAAAAACTTTAATGTTCTGAGTTACTTTCTTAAATGTCTATGGGTTAATATATATATATTTGTATATTTATATAGATATCCACCATTCTGCCACATATATACACATATATGATTTTTCATAACTAATTACAAGACTATTAAACCTATATTGCATTTGTTAACTTAGTTAACATACCTACAGATAAAACATCTTTGAATTATTAGCTAGGATGCTGTCAGAATTTGCAGGGCATTAGTAAGGTTAAAGTAGCTGAGAAAAAAGAATGGTTCTTAGTGAATGTTTTCCTCAAGCACTTTGGATATCCTACTAAAAAATTCCATGCCTATAGATGTTCTTATAAATATTTAATTTTGATAATCAGTACCATTTACTGATATTTCTACAGTAATGGAACAATGTGTAGCCTTTAGTCAATCTTTTCCTTTATAGCAGTACTTTATTAAATTGCATATAATTGCAGATAAATTTGATACATAATTTTTTCACATGTGTTCAACAGAGTTTCAAATAACGCTGATCCTTTGAGAGCTGCTGAAAGTCTGAACCAGCCTTAATATCTGAAATTAGGAAATGTATAAAATGTGAGAGATCTGATTAAAGTTTTATACGTAGATGAGTTAATTTTCATATTGTTACAGGCCATCCTGTTTTCCATCAATATATATATGTATATTTTTTGAGACAGAGTTTCTCTCTTGTTGCCGAGAATGGAGTACAATGGCGTGATCTCGGCTTACCGCAGCCTCCTCCTCCCGGGTTCAAGCCATTCTCGTGCTTCAGCCTCCTTGAGCAGCTGAGATTACAGGCTTGAGCCACCATGTCTGGTTAATTTTGAATTTTTAGTGGAGACTGGGTTTCTGGTCAGGCTGGTCTTGAACTCCTGAACTCAGGTGATCCGCCTGCCTTGGCCTCCCAGAGTGCTAGGATTACAGGCGTGAGCCACAGTGCGCAGTCCAGTATTTTCAACATTGTCTTCTTTTCAGTAAATTGCGTTAGTTAAGATTAGCCAATAAGGCCGGGCGCGGTGGCTCAAGCCTGTAATCCCAGCACTTTGGGAGGCCGAGACGGGCGGATCACAAGGTCAGGAGATCGAGACCATCCTGGCTAACCCGGTGAAACCCCGTCTCTACTAAAAAATACAAAAAACTAGCCGGGCAAGGTGGCGGGCGCCTGTAGTCCCAGCTACTGGGGAGGCTGAGGCAGGAGAATGGCGTAAACTCGGGAGGCGGAGCTTGCAGTGAGCTGAGATCCGGCCACTGCACTCCAGCCTGGGTGACAGAGCGAGACTCCGTCTCAAAAAAAAAAAAAAAAAAAAAATTAGCCAATAAATCTTACTCTGGCCTGCCAAGTCCATTTTTGTTACTGACCTGACTCCACACCCCCGCTACCTGAAGTATACTAGTACTAATTAAATTGTTCCAGGAGTTAGAATGGCACCTTTCCTACTATATGCCCTTGGTGAAGACAATCCTTGACAGATACCTTAAAAGGAGATAAAATATGTGCTTAATTTTTTCAGGAGTTTCTGTGGTAAATGTTTACCTCATTGAAAAATGGTGACTTTCAGACAATGTCAAATTTAATGATTCTCGGGGAAAAGAATTTTAAAGAATTTTATTTTGAGCATAAAGGTCTACTTTGTAAACTTAGGAGATAATACAGTTATAGTTCTAATACTACTTTTTTTTCCTTTACCTAAATAGTACCCATTTAATAGATGGTGTGAAATACAGGCTTTGAAGGCTGGCAGGTGAAGTAGTGAGAACTCCATTTCCATTTAGGTGTTTGGTTTCTCTTAGATTATCAACAAATATATGAATAAGAGTTTGATATTTATTAAGCTATAGACATCTTTTCAAATGAAAGTCAGTTAATTACTATACCTGAAATACTGCTGTGTTGAATATAAACTGGAAACACAATGATGAATGGTGTATTGTAAATTTTTAAATTCCTTTAATTAAAATTTTTTTTTAAATTGTGGTAAGAAACACCTGACAAAATTTACCATTTTTAAGTGTGGAGTTCAGTAGTGTTAAGTATATTCATATTGCTGTGCAACCAATATCCAGAACTTTTTTATCTTGCAAAATTGAAACTCTGTGTCGAGTAACTCCCAGTCCCTGGAAACCTCTATTCTAATTTCTGTTTTTATGAATTTGTCTACTCTGGATATCACAGTTAAGTGAAATCGTACAGTATTTGCCTTTTAGACAGGCTCATTTCACTTATCATAATGTTCTCAACATTCATTTATGTTTTAGCATGTCAGGATTTTCATCCTTTTTAAGGCTGAATAATACTCTATTGTATGTACCACGTTTTGCTTGTCTACATATCCCTTGATAGTCACTTGGGTTGCTTCCACTTCTTGGCTGTTGTGAATAATACTGCAATGAACATGTGTGTGTAAATAACTTTTTTGAGATCCTGCTTCTAGTTCTTTTGGATATATACCCTGAAATGAAATTACTGGATCATATTGTAATTCTATTTTAAATTTTTTGAGGAAGTACCATACCGTTTTTTATAGCAGTTGTACCATTTTACATTCCTACCAACAGTGCACAAGGGTTACACTTTCGATATATCTTCACTAACACAATTTTCTATTTTTCTTTGACATTAGCCATCCTAATGGGTGTGAGGTTGTATCTCACTGTGGTTTTTATTTACATTTCCCTAATTATTTATGTTAAGCATCAACAT